TTCGAGACTCGTAATTTTTATATAATGCGACGAAACTCTATTTTAAGATACATATACGTAGGTATCGGTATGTATACATGTGTATTAGGAGACCGAGGTCACGGTCGCATTACATTACCACTACGTAATTCACCTCTTTTATACCATATATCCGAAAGAGAACACAATGCTAAAACATATTTGCTTGTCATTATCATAACATTTTCCTTAATAATTAGATGAATACATGTAAAAGGTTAATTTGTAACGTTGTGTTATACTAAATACGGAAATGATAAATGATATAAAAAAGTCGTCCTACATGTACATGTACTTGGTTTTTTGATAAAAACTTTACTTATTATTATTGTTACATAAAAAAATGTGCAGCTTGCGTGAAGTATGGGAACAGTTGGATGATGATCGAGAAAATAAAGTGCCATATCCACCGGATTTCTACCCAGGTACAAAGTATTTGTAATAAAAAGGAATTTCACATTGTAGCGTAGTAACGATTTCGAAATGTTTTTAGGTGGGAATTACATTGATCTTCCTCGTGGTGAAACTCGGTACTGGCTATTTGGTCCCGAGACAGGAGAGAAGGTGAGAGTAGTATTTGTTTTGAACAGCTTTTATTGGAATTTAAATAACAGGTTTAAATAAATAAGTCGTATTTGTTCATGGTATGTTTAAATTTCAAAAAACTATTTTTATCTGTGATATATATTAATATAGAAATATTTTTCGAACAGGCATTACCATCCCCTCAGTTGTTTTCAAAGAAATTGCGACATACCTTGCAAAAAAAGAATTTCGTGTTTTGATTTATGGTAAATTATATTATAGCAACCTATTTGGGTTGTTAGAGTACAAATAATTTTTATTTCCAAATAGACTTATACGGAAGAGGATATAGCACCAATCCTGGATGTGATTGCGACAAAACATTGTTCGTCGACCAACTTTCAGATCTTTTAGATAGAGTTGGTTTTGATAAAACGAATGTTGTTGGATTGTCAATGGTAAAGAAAGTTAAAGATGGGTTAATTTAAAAAAAAACCATGAACAAATGATATTTATTACTGCTGCAGGGCGGTGCCATTTCAGTCTTGTTTACACAAAAATATCCGGAAAAAGTGGAGAAATTAGCGTTGATTGCCCCCGCTGGGTTAATGGAATTCACGGACCTTCCTTTTGTAGGGAGAATTCTTACTTTTCCTGGTGTCTCACAGTTGTTGTGTTATCCAATAATGATGGTATATTTTGAATTTGTCTTGTTTCTTCAAGTGTTCAAACTTTC